TAGAAATATTTGTCCCTGAATGATAACTCTTAAAGGTTTGCGAAAATGGGACATAACATCATTAAATCACTTTATATACTTTCAAAGAGGATCCCATTTTCAAGCTTACATCAATTGACTTACGACGTACTTTCACGTACAAAAATATGGTGTGTAATAATCGGACTCATCGAGACACTCTAGTCAGAGCAGTTAAGCAAAGTTACGATAATATAATTTAAGGTACTTATACAAGAGTCAAAAACTGAGCTTAAGCGTCACAACTAAAGCACTTACTATTCTCAAAGCATAATATAGTCAAGAGATATTGCTTTCATTAAACATCACAGCACAAGATCTCCTACTCCTACAAAAAAATAACAACTACACCCAGTTCAAACAAAACTCTTGGAAAAGAACTATGGCACAAAGAAAAACCAGGGGGAAATTATTATACTACATAAAGAAAAATAATATAATATTTCTTTTTCTTCGACTTAATCCCTCAAGAAACCTGTCGAATGACATCCATCGTTGGGAAAAAATCAAAAATTTTAAAGTTTTCAATCAAATGAATTACAAAAAACACACATAGAAACGAAAACAAACAGTTATTTACATAGTTACATCCCCACCCCACACTTTAAATTGTGGCATGTCCCCATGACACACAAATAAAAAGCAAGAGGTAAAGAAAACTCCCCTCGACTTTTTTCGTTTTTGAGAACTTATGAACTCCACCCCTTATTATGAATGCATATTTTTGCATTCATTCACAAGATGAATCCTTGCATATTCCTGTAAATCCCCAAAAATAAAATCCACATGATCAAGGTTAGAATAAGAAAATGAATAAGAAAGGTCATGCGTGTACTCCTCTGGTAAGTGCAAGATCATTTGTTCCTCATTTTTTTCTACTAAAAATTACAATTGTGGATAGGTGGGTGAGGGTTTGAACTCTTCATGTATTGCTTCATAATCAACCAAAACCTCATTTTCAATCATTTCAGTTGAAACAGAGTCCTCTTGCAGAGTGGACAACTCTCTCTGTAGATGTTCATCATCTTGGGTAGGCTCATTCTCACCGGGTACCTCCTCCATATATTCACCATCACAATGCAATGATCTTTCTGAAAGTGTACTTATTATTTGACTCACTTGCATTATTATGTTGTTAATGGCTTTATCATCTTGTGTAAATCTCTCTTCCACCTTGTTTATGAACTTACACATAAGCTCTTCTAAACTATCATTCTCCTTTTTAGGTGGTTGTCTCATTTCGCTTTCATTCCAGTTATAATAAGGGTATTCATCCCAACCAGAGTCAGAATCGTACCCATATGAATCCTCATACATGTACGGACAAGAGACAAAGTGAGAGTGTTCAAAAGATGAACCATAGGAAGAATACCTACATGCTTGACAATCAACCCATAGATGATTTCTACTGCATTTAAAACACATAGCAGACCGCTGACAATGTTCAGCTGCTAATTCTTCAACCATTTTCTTAGGCTGGTTGTACTCCATCTTTACAATATTTAGAGTTCAGTATCAAGAATATGCTCTTCAAGATTTCTTCAACAAAAGAAATCTTGAAGAGAAGTTAACATAACAAAACTAAAAATAATAAAACTAAAAATTAAAAAACTAATTCCTCAATTAGCACTACAAACTATTTCAAACACTATTGATTTCCAATCCCCAGCAACGACGCCGAAATTTGACGAGCACAACTGCACACACTTAAATTGTGCTCGCTAGTCAAAGATAGTATAGTATAATTATCGTATCTATAGGGATTGGATTTAAACAGTATTATCGTAGTTTGTAGCTAGATTGTTATCCAGGAGGATCAACAATTGAGATTTATATAATTAATAATCTAAAATCTACAACTATTGACTAATGACAATCACAACAAAGGTAAGCAAAGAAGTTATCAAAGGGAGATATATGATTTTGACGGAATAAGTGCAAGATAATTATCTGGGATTTAACTTTAGATAATTCACTTCTAATATTCAAGCGAGTCTCTCGAATTCACGTAATTATCAGTACAAATATTTAGTAGAAACTCCTCTCTCGATTAAGTTTCAACCTCACAATATGAACCAATTTAAGCTCTGTGAAGATATGCAAGAATGCGTAGTGGATCGGTCTTTAGGAAAACTTCTTTCGATTATTCTCCTAACTAGATTTAATCAATGATTCAACTAACCTCTTTCGATTACTTAGAAGAATCTATGAACTCAACCAACAATATAGTGCAAAGATATCACAAGTTATTCCTCTTTCGATTACAAAAATAAGTGAATATAGATGCAATAATTAAATCTTTTAAAAATGATTCAAATACATAAAAATAGAGTTATAATCTACAAACAATCATCAATACACCAAATCCATCAAAACCTAAAAGGATATACTCCATAGACATGGAGAAGTTCTTCACAAATGAAACTAAAGTATAGAAAAACATAAATTCAATCCAAAACCGGATCTTGAGTGGGGAAGGAATGATGAAATCCTTGTGCTTGTGTTCTTCCAACTCCTCATTGGCCTCCTTAGGTCGAAAATGTGCAAAAAGTCCATCTAAAATGGTATTTTGGTGCATTTAAGCCACCCCCAAAATAAACCCCGGACGAAACTACCCTTTTTAGCGGAATTGGAAAGTCACTCTAACATTTTTGGGCTGCCGCGGCGCATGCCGCGCTACCCCATGCGGCGCGGGTCTGGAAAATTCCAGAACGATTCAAAATATGATTTTTGCCCACTTTTTGCACTAGCGCCCCGCACCCCGCGGAGCATGCCACAAGGCAGAAGTGTAAATTGTGGCCAGAAATGAGTTATTCAAATTTTGACATCCAGACTTAGTTTTCGACCCCCGAACGTGATCCCGGCTTAATTGCTTGAGTTTCTACTCAGACTTCAAAGCTCCAAATAGCTCAAATTAGCTCCACAACATCTGTATAACTCGGAATCACTCCTACAAGGCACAAAACACACAATAAGTGCAAAAATACTATCAATTAAAGCTTAACACAAGTAAAGTACAGTGAATTAGAGTGTAATACGCGACTAAAATACGGGATTATAGCATACCATACTACCATATGATGCCAATATGACATATAACTATACCAATTGATACCAATATAGTATATAGCTATACTAACATGGTATATAGTTGTATGGGGTCGTTCCAACAACTGCCTATAACTATAAAAACTATTATATAATACACATAATCTATGTACACCGGCACAAACAAATCCCAACACTGCAAATCATGTTCATATAAATAATTTCTTAATAGAATTTACTCAAAAAATACAACTAAAACAACCAAAAAAAATATTCCAAATATCATATAATACCAATATGACATATAACTATACCAATATAGTATACAGTTTCACTGATTAATTTTTGACAACTATATGACTATACTACTATTACATAACACACATGCATAAAGAGAAAAAAAAATAGTGTACCACATATTAATATAATAAAGTATTTCAAGATATTGTACTATATTACTATTATTAAAAGAAAATCAAATAGTGTACTAATTAAATGCAGTTAATACAACTACAAAAGGATTCAACTAGCATATGATATCAATATAGTATATAACTATACTAATAGGGTATATAGTTGTACGGGGTCATTCCAACAACTGCATATAACTATAAAAACTATTACATAATACACAAAACCTATGTCCATAGGTACAAGAAAATCCAACACAACAAAACATGATCATATAAATCATTTTAGAATATAATTCACTTAAAATTCGAGCTAAAACAACCAAAAAATGTTTCAACTACCATATGATACCAATATGATATATAACTATACCAATAGGGTATACGGTTCTATTAATTAATTCCAGGCAACTATATGACTATACTACTATTACATAATACACATGCATAAAGAAAAATATCAAAACTAGTGTATCACATATTAATATAATAATGTATTTTAAAATATTGTACTATAATACTATTATCTAAAACAAACGCATAAAGAAAAAATCAAAATGATTACATAATACACATGCATAAAGAAAAATTAAAAAAATTCAACATATTGTACTATTCTATTATTACTAAAGAAAAATCAAACAATGTACCAATTAAATATAATTAATACAATCAAAACGTTCCAACTAACATATGATACCAGTATAGTATATAGCTATACCAATACGGTATACAGTTGTACGCAAAGGGTTCAAAAAAGATTTTTTTTAATTTAATTATTAAACTCACATAATCTAATTAACTCAAAATTTAGCCAAAACCTCAAATCAATATTTAAACCCACCCTAGTGAAAATTGGATCGAAATAACTACAACCTCAACAAACCAATTTATGCATTTCAAGCTTCAAGGTCCTTTAATAGTGAATTTTATTTTTATTATAATAAATCTCTGAAAAATTAAACTTGTGCAAGTAAAAAAATGTAATAGCATATGATAATTTAAGCTAATAAAATGACAAGCTAAAAATACTTTATGATGCAATACTAGAAGCTAATAAAAATTAGAATAAGAAATCTCAAAAAATCGTAAATTATATATTCATTCCAGATCTCAATCTCAACAAGCAATGAAAATTACAGAATTTTTAAACTTTTATTAATAAAAAATAGCTCTAGGGAATTTTTTTGTTTTTAAAAAGGAACAAAAAACTTCAAAGAAGGTGCTCAAATCTAGTAACAACCACGCCACAAACTAATTAAAGATCATTTTGAGAAAGGTTCTTTGGACACCCAATCAAATAAAGGTATAAGGGATAAGAGAAAACAAATATGGGTAGTCGGGTAATATTTTTAGTTCAAATGTGTATAAATTATGACAAAGTTTTAGATGGGTAAACACGGGAAATATTTTAATTTTCAGCATAAATTGCTCCATTAAATGAGCTGTTTTCACAATGGTCTCCCTATTTCCAAATATGAATCTCAAAAAGAAAAACATAGTACAGAAAAAAAGAACACTATATTTTTTCCAAAATAGGTGTCAAATATAATATTGAATCCAACAATTCATTCACGAATTCTGTAGAACCAAATGTTTCGGGGTCAAACCCTAGCTAATATGCATGAAACAATTATAAGTACAGTTTGATATGTATTTCAGACAATGTTATATCACTGGTAAATGCTTAACATAAACTCTAGCGACCATGAATTGTAGAAATAGACATGTCATTAACAGATGTTCCTATACTTGCTGATGAAGACGGTGTAACTGAACCATATTTCTGTGATCTGAATATAAAGCTAGGTTCTTTAGGGAAAGGAAGTTTGGTTTCATTGCACAACATGAAGACCACTTCCGACATGGTTGGTCTGTCGTCTACAAATGATTGTACACACAAAAGGCCGATGTGGATGCATCTCAAAACTTCACAAGCTTCATATGAGTCCCCTAACAATGGATCAGCAACATCTAAAGCTTTATCATTCTTCCAAGAATCCCACACCTGAAACAGAAATACCAAAATCAACATTTCCAGCAATTCCTGCTCTATAAGAGATACTATAACACCTTAAAGAAGCAACTCAAGCTAAAAATAGAAATGCTGAATATTCACAAATTTAAGAACCCAAAAAAGTATTTGTTTTGAGATTATCATTTGCAGTACTTCCATCTGTGACACGGTTTATGTCTAAGGCAATATAGGTGATTTCTTGATTTTAGTAGCATATATATGTTGTAGAATGCACTTACATATCCAGCTAAATGTTGAGATTTCTCCTGATCATACTGAGAGTTGTTCTTTCTGCCAGTAATAATCTCCAAACACAGAACCCCGAAACTGAAGACATCAGATTTCGCTGAAAAGTGTCCTACCATTGCATATTCAGGTGACATATAACCACTGCGATCAATAAAGCAACGTCAACATTTATATTTTAAAACTCAAATGAACACATCTAACAGAACTCTCACATGTGTATGCACAAAACTTGAAACACTTACTACGTTCCAACAACTCGATTTGTGTTTGCTTCAATTTGGTCAACTCCAAAAATTCTGGCCATTCCAAAGTCTGATATTTTTGGTTGCATGGAGGCATCTAGTAAAACATTGCTTGCTTTTAGATCCCTGTGTATAATTCTCAGTCTAGAGTCTTGGTGAAGATATAACATTCCTCGTGCAATCCCGTGGATGATTTCAAACCGTTTTTCCCAATCCAACAAAGACCCTTTTGTTTTATCTGGAACACAGTTTGAAAGTTTATGCATAAGCAATCCATTAGGAAAAGACAACCAGTTCAAGCAGTACTCGTTAATTAACAGTAAGCATGTAAAAACATGTATAGTTTGAAGGTCAAGTTAAGATTTCAGGTCCTGTAAACTGTTCTTACCAAAAATAAAACTATCCAAGGATTTGTTTGGCAAGTATTCATAAACTAACATCTTCTCTCCTTGTTGACTGCAACATCCTAAAAGCCTCACAAGATTTCTGTGCTGGAGTCTTGCAATTAGTGTGACTTCATTTCTGAACTCCTTTGTTCCTTGCCCTGAAGTTACTGAAAGTCTTTTGACAGCTATTACCTGTCCATCTTTCAGGTGACCCTGAAATTGAATCCAAGATTATTGTTTGGTAAACTTGGCTTAATACAACAATTTATTAAACCTAACTGCAGTCTCCTATAAGGATCATGTTGGTTGAAAGGCATTCAAACATATTTGGGAATCGTTACCTTGTATACGCTACCAAACCCTCCTTCACCAAGTTTGTTAGCAACAGAGAAGTTATCAGTTGCATTACTTATTGTGCTTAGGTCAAAGATTGAGATTTCTGTTTGTTCACTTTCATCCATGGATTCACAGGATGCTAAATTTTTGTTTAATGTATTCGGATGGCTCTTCTTATCTGCACATCAGCAAACACTGATTAGGATCTAATGCAATATGCAATTACACCACAGTTTTCATGTACCACTAAGGTAATAACATAAAGTAAGGAGAATTAAACACAATGTGGTATAGCGGCTGTTCAGATACTGAAAATATTTGACCAAGCATGGTATTGAATAATATCCTTACCTTTTATCCTTTTACTAATCACCAAAAAATATGCCAAAAATATTCCAAGAATTATTGCTGCAGCAGACCCTACTAGAATTGCTGTCACTCTTTTCCTGTGATTGTTATTTGTGTTCTTGGAGAATTGTGCTGAAAGGAATGAAAAATGAAAACTTTATATGAACACCACGGCTAGATACTATGTACAATATGGATTTAATCACACAATATTTAAGTTAAATCCTTACCTAAATCAGATGCAGAGACTCTGCTATAGAAATCTTGGCCCCCATCTGTAAATTGCTTTATGTCTCTCAACTCACCATACCAAGTGATACACCCACTTCCCCCTTCACTAATATTAGCACTTGCATAGGCTGTGCAGGAACAATTTTTCAGACAGAAATGTTCACATTCCTTCAACCCCATGCTTTTGTTCATCAGAGCTGCATCTATATCCGGGATTTTCACATGACTCAACTTAACAAACCCTTCACCACTGTTGCACACATTTTCATTTTTCTTCCTCAAGCATCCATGGGATCCATCTCTCAAGTACCATTGTCGGCTTAACCTCGGCTCATACCCCGGAAGGCAACTACATTCAAATTCACCCAAATTGAACAAATTGCAATTGCTAAATGCTCCACAATGTTCATAATTGTCACACGAGTCCTTAGGCGCAAACCAAAATTGCACCCATTTCTGCTCACTCTCTTGCCAAGTTACCCGGTTCAACATCCCAGATTCATTCAAGACCATTCTTGAGATTATGGAAGTATCTTTTATGTAATATGTCATGGAAACCTCGCTATCATTGTCCACATAACTGAGGCTGAAGATGAATCTTGGGCTCATTTCCGGTACACCACTCCAACCATGACCAGTCCAGGATCCTGTCCGCCATATCCTGCTATAGTTCTTATACAAGAATACTTGAGGTGTCCCATTGAACTCCATTATGTAACGATACTCTCCGGTGCCTGGGTCGTTCAATGATTTCCATGATGTTAGAAACCGGTTTAAACCTGTTTTTTTGTCTATCCCATATTTCATTGAAGGAAGTAGAGTATTGGTAGGATAATCAAAGCTTTGCCATGCAATAATATCCATTTTCGGGTCCTGAAACAACATGAAATTCCCTGAATCCCACAGCTTAGCACTGTACAAGTCTGCTCCATTCTTTGCTGAAGAAATATTTGTTTTCCAGGCTGAAACTTTCGTTTTCATGTCGAGTATAACAAGATTTCCAGTAGAGTCAATAGTAAGAATTCCAGATGTACCATTGATGGGGTTGTCTCTATTGGCAACCCAAACAACAGTTTGTTCAGGAACATTGTTGTACCAAACTCCAACATAACGTTTTCCAGGGAAATTTCCAGTAGGGCTAAAGAAACCCAAAGCAAAGGATTTTCCAGAAGAGATTAATAAATCTCCATCTTTGAGAGAGTTGTTAAAGGAGATGGTGTCTATTGAACTGCAAAATGGGACAAGAAACGAAAGAACTATTAACAACTCTTTCTTCTGACACATGGTTTCTAAAGTGAAATAACTTCTCTCTGTCTAGGTTGTTCACAGTTTAAAGTCTAGAGACATTAAATTTTGCCAGAAGTTAGATGGAAGAGGACCCCATAGTCTTAATTAAGCAACTTATTGATGAACAAAAGTGGGGACTTTACGTGAAGTTTATGATCACAATCTTTTGAGATAGTATGGTAGAAGGAGTCCAGAATCAAAATGTGGTTTTTTGGACTCTGAAGAACCAAAATGTGTGAAAAAAAATTTGGTGACCATTTTATATATAACACCCTTTTAAAGGGCGCTATACTTTAGCGGTCGTTTGCCCAATTAAGTATAGTACATTTTTAAAAAGCGTNCGTGGGTCCACCAATAATTTTTCTTGGCTTAACTGACTAGTTTAAGGGACTTTTTCGAGATTTTAAACTTATTTACCCGGTTTTGTCTAAGTTTTTCTATTTACGGAAAGTAACTAACGTTTTTTACAAAATATATACAAATTCGGTCAAAATCTACAATATATCTACAATTTATCTACAACTTAAATTCAATTTTTTTGTACAGAATCCGGTAAAAAATTACAATTTACGTACAATTTATATACAACTTATATACAATTCTGTTAGTTGTATATATTTTGAATGTCGTTTCTACACCTGAAATACAAAATATATACAACTTGTTTAAGTCTTCTTCTTCGAGTTTCAATATGAAATTATAATCAAAACAACCTCCAATCATCATCCAATTCTCTCAAAATTTAGATATAAATTCCAAAGAATATTCCCAATCATTTATAACTACACCCAATCCAAACAAATACCAATTTCACAAATTTCAATTTTCGAATTTAGAGTTTCGAAACTTTTTAATGGCTATCAATGGAGTTTTTAATGGATTAACAAGGTTCCTAATTCAATCTACTCGCTTCTCATTAATACTATTTAGTTTATTGATTTCAATAAACTAAAAGAAATCTACTTAGAGATATTAAGCTAGCATCCTGGAATTAAACTAACAAATCTGTAGAGTACAAAAAACTGAGTGTTACAATTTGAAAACAGAAAGTGGATTGCACGGAATTAATTGCAATGTCCTAACTTCTCTGTTTATATAGTACAATTAATTTAGTTATTTAGCATTTGGATAAAAAAAAGGTTTGATCTTTGTTTTGCTTTGAGGATAGTTGCTTTGATTTGAGTTAGAATAATAAGAGTATGGTGCTTTTTAATGGTAAGAGAAGTTTGCAGTCCACAAGGAAGAAGGCGAGGGTGGAGATAACTTTCTAGTGGTACTTTATAAAATTTTTGTATATAAATGGTAAATTGTATATGCTAATATAATTAGGCAATAACCTCTCTAACAGGAGTAAATAAGTTTATAATGTGGTATAGATAAGTAAAAATCTCCTAGTTTAATTACTAGCATTTTTATGATGTTTTTATTTCATGTATAATATTATTTTTTCATCAATGTTAGTATTTATTCTTTTTGATTTTTAAAATAAATAATTTTTCATTTTACATGGTACTTGTTGTATGACATGCATTTATTATTTTTGTTATCATTAGTTATATACATGCATGGCTTACGTTAAACAATATTTCATTATTAAGGAATTTTTTCAAATGAACTAATAATATTAAACATAATTAAAAAAAACATTAGCTCAAATCATTTTTTATATACTAATTGACATTGCAATAATGATTCATATGTATAAGAAATACTAAAAATGTATTTACATACTTAATTATTTATGTGTCACCATTAATGATTAATTGAACAGTATTATCAAAACAAATAAATTTTCAAATTTATATTATTAAATTATTCACAATTTTATCTCCAACACTATTTTATATTAATAATAATACATAAAAATATAATTCTCACAATAAATAATTTATGCTACATGCTTTGTCTGACCTTGTAAGTATTTATTTATTGTAAGGCTTTACATCTATGCATAATTATATGTACTACATCTTTCCTGCGATTAATTTATGCACAATATTATGAACTATTGGTGCGGTGAACGTGGATTAGGTATTTGATGTTAATAGTAAAAAAATTAAAGATAGAGAAAAAAAAAAGGAAACATAATATGATGTTTTAAATATTTATAAAGTAGTACTTATCAGATGTTATTGTGAAAAAATTGTCTCCATTGATGTTAAGTAATATCAGTTATTATCACTTCATTTCAAATACCTAGTGTTATGTATGTGTATTTTATGTAAAAGTTAATTCTTATTATTTATTATATCAAAAAATATAATATATTAATATACTATTAATTATATTATTTTAATGAATAGATATAAAATACTGTATTGCTATTCACAGAAATTTTATTTAATATGAAACTTTATTAAAATCTTTCATTAATTGCTATGCAATACGATTCAAAAACAATTCAAACTATTTCTTATGTCTGTATAATAATGTTTGCTTAATATAAATAAATACTATGGTAATTAGTAATAGTATGTTAAAATTTACAATAGTATATCATTAAATCATTTATAACGTTGACCTTTTTTCACCATTTTATTTTTAAATATGGCAAAAATCTTTTATGATCAACGAAATATGTTAACAAAATATGTATGAAACAATAAAACGCAAAACAACTTAACGAATAAATATTTCAGAAGAGTTGAGAATATTTATGAATGGATTTTTACAAAATCCTTAACCTCTTTAAATAAGGAAAAAACCAGAGTATAATTATTTGAGGTATAGCGCCTTAAATAAGGGCGATATACCAGTTGAACTATTGTTATGTCAGTTAAGCCCAGAAGAATTATTGGTGGGCTCACATAATATATATAAAGTCTCTCAACAAGGCTTTATACATATAGCGTCTTTCAAAAAGGCTTTATACATATAGTGCATTTCAAAAAGGCTTTATACATATAGCGCCTTTTAAAAAGGCGCTTAAAAGACGCTATACTTAACTGGGCAAACGGCCGTTAAGGTATAGCGGCCCTTTAAAAGGGCGTTATATATAAAATGGTCACCAAATTTTTTTTCCACACATTTTGGTTCTTTGAGTCCAAAAGAACCACATTTTGGTTCCGCTTTCATGGTAGAAGGACTTCAGTTATGTAAACCTCATAGTAAATTAGTAATTAACGAAAGAAACCGAGTAAATTTGGTTAACAGAACTTCAGTGCATATGTATACTGTTTCGACCAAGGACTAGGTTATTGTCATGAGTTCACTTTCAGAACTTACTTGTTGTATTTTGTTTGTGTATAATTAATTGCTAACGTGAGAGACTCGTGAATCCTAGTTTTAAAAAAAGAGAGGATATTACAGGTAGGGGCTTGTAGAAAGTTTGAAGAATAATCAAGGGAAAATAATATAATGATCTTGATCCCTGTGTTATTGCATTATTCTACTTTTAATCTCTGTATTATTTAATTGAACACATTAAACCTTCAATTAATACAAATGTGCAGCTTTGATCCTTTGAACTAACTGTGAGACGTAACAGAATCATTAAGTGAATAACAAAAAATAATAAAGGTGAAGGAAGCGTTAACCTGCCTTCTGCAAACTCAACAGCCTCAAGAGTGGGTGGCTATTCTACATTTGCAGCATCCAAGACTAACCCCATTGTAAAATGGGAATCTTACATAAATGTCTCAAATAAATCTTAACTTACCAATCTCTAGCCATTAATCATAAATTTATCAAAACTAATCAAGCACATATAAAAATTAAAAATCCAAAAAAATGGGTTCTTTCTCTTCAAGAATCACATGCAAAGATCTCATTCCATATTTTTAAGTGTGATCAATAACATTAGATGCAAGACGGAAAATAAATTTATGGATGAGATAGCAAACAAGGTGATGAAATACAAAAAAATATATATACAAAGATTCCAAAAATCTAAGCAAAAAAAGACCCTTTTTTATGTTATATGCGGATTTAATTCCCAACTAATTTTCCAGGTGTTATTTCCGCGCTAGATGGCGCTAAATGTACCGCAGAATTTCCTAGGAATCTCGTTTTTGCAAGTACAATATTCTTATATTTAGAAATTTTAGATTTTTTCATGAAAATCTGCAACAAATTCCCATGTAAATGACATTTTTTTTTTGTAGTTAATAGGTATAGTTGAAATTCATTGAAAACATATAGATGAGTCAATATACAAAATTTGAGAAAGATTGGAAGTGATTTGGACTGATTTAGTATCAAAATTCTTAGTTAAAATCGAGTTCAAAAAATACTATTTTGCGACACATGTATCAAACATGTATCACACACAGAGGTATACATGGGTATACATGTGATACATATTTGATACATATGTGATACACAAATGATACAACGTGTGATACACATATCATTTTTTTCATATTCATCTTCTACTTCGAATTTTTAATTCAAACCACCTCAAAACTCCACCAAATCATCCCAAAACTGGATTCAAACTCCTTATGATGTATCCAATCTATTCTAACAACACTCACTCAAAAGAAAGCAAACATTTAACCTTTTTTTGCTACACATAGCTAATTGATTAATATTGGTAACATTTGGCTAATATTAGTAATATTTTATGAATTGATCAATTTTTGTAATAAGTTACTTATAAATGGACATTGATGGTAATTTCTCTTGTAAAAAGGTACAAATTCCCAGAACGACCCACCAATTAGAACCCCAAAATAATGACTTTTCTAGCTACGGAAGATTCATTGCTGCACTGGCCACTGGTTTATCAATTAGCAGGTTGCTCAATCTCTTTCCCCTCACTTCTTACCAATATGAATTGTGACGGATTGATAAGTACTCCTTTATCCATAATCAGAATTCAAAGATCTCGGGTTCGAGCCATTATTATGAAGCCGCCTTTATTAGAAAGAGTCTTAACCTCGGGAGTAATTAGTTAGGCCTCATGTGGGTACCAGATACAAGTGATACAAAAAAAAAACAAATATTCTGGTTTTCTTACAAATTAAACTGAAAATAAAAACAAAAATAGAGTCTTGAAAGCTGTGGTAGGTTAGGTGCACCTCTCGCCCAGTAGGAAGTAATGAGGCTAGTCCCCCCGAATGAAGAAGTAACGGGGGCTAGTAAGGATTTTCATTTTAGGCAAGCAAGCTGCAGCGCGAGTACCCTTTTTTTTTTTTAGTTTTGCGGCAATATTGGAGATTTTCATTGAACTAGTTAAAAGACTTAGATAACACACCCGGTTTACATCAGAAAAAGTTCACGTAAAGAAAAGAGATTTGTTTCCGATAGACCCTCGGCTCCTTCCCTCCAAAGACTCACCACCTTGCTCTTAGGATGACTCGAACTTACATCATCTTGATTGGAAGTGGAGGGTGCTCACCACTAGAGCAGCATATATTACTAAAGATATATATTTGAAAATCGAACATAATTTGTTATTGTACATTGAATAGTAAGATTAATTTAATATTACTACTTTATATACATTTAATTCTATACTGTATAAAAATTGATATCATTGAGAAGGACTAGAAGATGATATGCATATGTCAACCTCTAGATAGATGTATGATGTACTACTTATTAATTAGCACCATCTTTTTTGCTAGAAAGTGATGCTTATTTTTGTTCTGATCAACTTCAGTATTTTCTTCCTTCCATATATTTCAGAAAATTCTTGTAATATTATAAGGATACCTAACTTTATTGGGAGAATATATTTTAGTTTGAATTTATTGAAAGAAATATCAACCGCTACTTTATAAAATAAAAAATATTTTAAAATTGATTCAGAAAGTTGTAGCTAACGAAAGTGTAATTTGACACTCCAAACAGCAATAATGCCATATACTAGACATATAGAGTCTGTAGAATGCATCAAATTGTATTCTTTGCTTTAATCCACACCTTTTGTAAAAGCACAATATATATTTGGCATATTTCTTCCTTCTCATATGAAAATATAGAAAATGATAACCATATGATGTTTACTGATCATACCAATATATTTATGTGGTTTTCATTTCTACAGGCACTCTTTCTCTGAACCTCACAAAACTTTGATATATTGGAGAAAGACATGAATTGAATCAGTGGTTATGTGTTTTGATGCATGTAAAGTTGAAAGTTCATATATTTTTGACCAATTCAAACCTTATATGTTAATGTTATAATTTGGACACGTACGACATATTATGCAAGTGTCGGATCATTGATGGATCTAAATTACTAAAAGTCTTTATTACTGTTGCAATCACAATCCTCAGTTTAACTATATTTATAACTAAGAAAAATTAAAAAAGATAATGCATTTACTTGAAATCTATTGACTTTAAATTTTATATTTGTCTTTATATCAACAACTTTTGTTTTCTTCCATTTAATAATGTGTGATAATTCAGTTCTTCACTCAGCACCGCGCAATTAGGCCACGTAGTTTAAATACGAATCTGTAACAAAAAACCTCACTAGAAAAGGAGACAAATATATATCTACCTTGTTATTACGTCATTATTACGTTTTAGTGAAATTAAGAGATGGTTTTTAAGTTGAGGAAGCTTGAAATCCAAAAATTATCTTTTCCAGTAAAATCCAGGTTGCTTAGTTAGGTGTAGCATTTGGGTTATCACTACCCAACAATCAACCTCAACAATACCCTGGCCAGAGCCAAAACGGACCAAATAAGAAGAGAATACTAAAGTAGTAGACGCAATAGGAGTCTATAGATAGTATAAAAGAAGTCGATTATTTATTTTACCATTATTTGTTCAGACGTTGTCCCTCCGGGGCCATCCCATAAAAAGATTTTTTTTTCAACGTTTGCTTAAATATAGCTAACTACAAAGCATTGTTATTTATATAATTTGTGTAGTTTCTAAATACGTAAATAGAAAATTATACACCATTTGAATCCAATATCTCCAGGTACCATAAATATCAAATTCAATGATGTTATAGATTATGTTAATAGCAACCGCATTAATAACCAAATAATCAAGATCCTGTTTGATAGGGTGCTTGTAATTCATTAAGCAAATTTGGTGCCTCTTGAAAAGACGAAATATATAGAATAACTATAATGTCTTGCATTGCATGAAGTCACTCAAAACTCAACAAGATACATAAATTCTAAGTTAGAAAAGGTCATATAAAGGGTGATAAATGATCCTTTTCTTAGCAACAGTAATTTCCCTAGAATTCCCACTTGCAAGCTCCAAAAATTAAGCTTCTTGGGTTGTTTGCCAGCAGGAATGCCATTTTCATAGTTTCAAGTTATACTAGTAAGCGGAATAAGAAAAAAGACTTGAGACCTACTTACATTAACTGAGTTTGTTCTCTGTGCATTTGTTTCTTGAAATTAGGTCATCATGATCTTCCAGTGAGTTCAGTAATAGTTACCCCATTCACACTGTCGCGACTCCTGAAACTGTTACTCCACTCTCTAGGGATGTAAGGTTCCACTGGCACACAATTTAACCTTGAAGTTTCATTCTGTTCTAGTATGGAAAACACCTGAACCATTGAAGGTCTGTCTTGGACACGTCGTTGACAACACAAGAGCCCAACAAGGATGCATTGTAAAACTTCATTCCTATTGCCTGATTGTTCTATCATTGGATCCAATAGTTCTATGGCCTTCCCTTCATTCCAAATTTTCCAAGCCTGATCATCGAAAGATCATACATGTACAATGTTTTAGCACAAGGTGCAACTTTTGTGTAACCAATTTAAGAAAGTGAAATAGTAACCATAACCAGGGGATAATATACTTACATAGCCTACTAGACCAATATCATAGCCTGGGTGGTGATAACCCCAATTCTTTTGGCCACTGACAATCTCCAATGCCAAAATTCCAAAGCTAAACACATCTGATTTTGTTGAATAATGTCCATCTTCTAAGTATTCAGGTGGCATATAACCACTGCAGCCACAACAAAAAAACATCAGGAAAAAAAATTCTAAAATGTACATAAACGTGTACTCTTAATAATAATGAGTGATATCTACTTACCGTGTTCCAACTACATACTGAGTCTTTTCTTCAACATCATCTTCAAAAGCCCTTGACAACCCAAAGTCAGATATTTTGGGTGTCATCTCTCTGTCTAGCAAGACATTGCTAGCTTTTAAGTCTCGGTGGATTATTGTCAACCTCGAATCATGATGCAAGTAAACTAATCCTTTTGCAATTCCTTTAATAATGTTAAAGCGCATTGGCCATGTTACTGTACCCCTTCTTGCAGAATCTGGACATGATACAAGCAAACAGTTACTCGGACTGTCACAAATTTATGTCCTTTATGTTTTTTACAATTCAAAATAATAAAGAAAAAATGTGCAACAGAACTGTTATTTAAGCTGTCATACCAAATATGACCTTGTCGAGGCTATTATTGGCCATGAACTCATAGACCAGGAACTTTTCGTTTCCATGAATGCAGTATCCCAATAACTTGGNAATTCAAAATAATACAGAACAAATGTGCAACAGAACTGTTATTTAAGCTGTCATACCAAATATGACCTTGTCGAGGCTATTATTGGCCATGAACTCATAGACCAGGAACTTTTCGTTTCCATGAATGCAGTATCCCAATAACTTGGTTAGGTTACGATGCTGAAGCTTTGCTATTAATTTGACTTCATTCTCAAACTCCTTATCTCCTCGTTCTTGACGTGAAGTCACTTCCTGCTTCTTCACTGCTATTTCTTCTCCAGTATCTAATACACCCTACAGATTAAGTATGTGTATTAAATTTCTGCCATGATTTGTCTTAGTTACTGTAAATTTGCATGTCCATGCTTGTTGAAAAGAAATAATAACCTTATAAACATTGCCAAATCCACCATTCCCTATCTTATTAGACAGCGAGAAATTGTTAGTGGCTGCAGATAGAGCACTGTAATCATATGCAATGACATCTGCGCCCTGCAGCAAAGCTTCTACAGAGTTTCCAGGCTGATTAATTTGTGGTTCATCTGTTCAGAAAAAGATATTCTTTTGAGAAAATAAATTAATTAGACAATTATGGAAGTGAATCATACCTTACTAGAGGTTGCACAATAGCTAGCTTACAGGGTCATGTGTTTGCTAATG